TGTCAGCCACATTTGCTACCAAACACCTGAAATATGGTTGCCAGAGAGAGGTGTGCTCTAAGAGGAAATCGCATGCCAGAATCAACCCCCGCTCCCCTCAGTTTTGTGGGACAGAAATAAAGTTGGTGGGCCCCCATGGGTGGCTTATGTGAAGCAGAGAGGAGAGAGGCCACTTTCTCCCCATCCACCTCTGCCACCCTGGGACTGGCTGGGACGGCTAGGACTGACTGACATAGGCCTCTGTGTGACAAGGATCAGAGCCCTGCCAGCCCCACTAGGTGGCCATCAAGCCACACCTGACACCCACTTGGCCTTTTCTGTCCCGGGTTTAATTCCCACCACCCAGTTGCTCCGGGAGCCACAGACTCAGGCTGGAGCGAGGAATTGCTCTTTTGCAGGAAAAGAAAGCCGGTCCTAAGCCCTACCCAGGCCTTCTGGTCCTTGTCCTTGTCCTTGTCCTTGTCACAGGAAAGAATTTCAGGAGTAGAAGTCAATGAGGCTTTTTTTTTTTCTTTTGGGTCACACCTGGTGATGCACAGGAGTTACTCCTGGCTCTGCACTCAGGAATTACCCCTGGTGGTGCTCAGAGGACCATATGGGATGCTGGGAATCGAACCCCAGGTCGGCCGCGTGCAAGGCAAATGCCCTACCCACTGTGCTATCTCTCCAGCCCCTCAATGAGGCTTTTTGAGGAAACGGAGGAAAGGAGAGAGAGTAACGTGCTCAAGGGAGAACACGGGCTTCAACAAGGGTGGAGAGAGCCCAGTACACATCTCAAGAGGGGAGATGCAGCTGACACATGTGTTTCCCATGTGGACACAAACAGCACACGGGCTCGGGCAGCATGTGCACGTGCTTCCTGTGTTCAAGTTGGCTTTTCTAGTTTTTTCCCCCAAGCTGCCCAACATGGGACTTCCTAGTTAGCTAAGAGCCTGTTGCTAAGGGTGGTTGCCAAGGGGGTAGAGTTGGGAGTGGTTGATGGTCTTTGACATTCCTTCCCTTGGTCTTTGTTCCTGCAGGGGCTTCTCTTGGAGTCGGGTCCTGCCTTCTCTGGGTCTGTTGTCCCCAGAGGAAGGTCTTATCAGGCCTTAGTTCCTGTGTCTGCAAGGTGGACTATTTGCAGTCTTGGGCTATTGGTTTTATTACTTCCTAGGAATTCCATTGCCACGGGGGCCCTTTACAATCCACCTGCCTATATTAGAAGTATATATAAAAAAATTCAATAACTTGATATTAGTTGTCAATGTAATAATGTTTGAAACCATAGATGTGTTGAGGAGAGACACACACACATAAATACATATGTGTATATATGTATATACATATATACATGCGTATATATATATATACATGCATGCGTATATACATATACATATATATATATATAATGTTTTTTGGGTCACATCAAGGGTTATTCCTGGTTCTGCACTCAGAAATCACTCCTGGAAAGCTCGGGGACTATGTGTGATGCCGGGATCAAACCCAGGTTGACTGTATGAAAGACAAGTGCTGTACTATTTCTCTGATCCATGATTGATTTTTTTTCCTATTTTTTTCTATTCCATTTGACCATTTCCTACTCGAATTTGTCTCACTGGTGAATTAATTAATTCTCACTGAGGAAAAAAGTTGATTAATTCCTACTATCTAGTGTGTTGCTAAGATCTATTAAAAATCTATTAAAAATCAAAAAGGTTGGGACTGGAGCAATAGCACAGCGGGTAGGGCGTTTGCCTTGCACGTGGCTGACCCGGGTTCGGTTCCCAGCATCCCATATGGTCCCCTGAGCACCACCAGGGGTAATTCCTGAGCGCAGAGCCAGGAGTAACCCCTGTGCATTGCTGGGTGTGACCCAAAAAGCAAAAAAAAAAAAAAATTAAAAAGGTTTTCTTGCCCTTTATACCAATGACCTTACTGTAGCTGTTAATAACAGAGTAAGCGCTGTTAGATATAGGCTAAGTAATTAGCCTCACATGGAAATTGGAGTGGAAATTGATCCTGAAAGTCTGCATTTCTGCCGACTGAAAAAATATTCTTCCGAGGTACTTCACTGCCTCGCAGTCTGCAGGAACAAGCCTTCCAGGGCTCTCTGCTGTCCCTCGCCTTCGAAGACCTCTGCTCACAAAGTCATTTGCAGTCATGTCTCCCGGAGGAAGAAGATCCATTTGGTCAGTTGTCTAGGTAACTTGTCATTGTTTCACCGGTGATTTCCTTCTTAACACAGTTATTCACACAACATCCACAAGTCCCAGAGCTGAAGGGTGAGGAGGAGACAGCCACTGCAGGAACCCAGTGACAACTCAGAGAAACTCTCGGTAGAATGCCTTAGGCTTGCTCATCACATGTTCTCATCATCTACTCTTGTGTTAGGTATTTGCGTGTGTGTGTGTGTGTGTGTGTGTGTGTGTGTGTGTGTGTGTGTGTGGCGGACCTTATAGCCCTGAAACTATTCTGAGCAGGAATTTGGGGGATAGGAAGGGGGGTAGCACACAGATAGTGTTCAGAGGCTGTTCCTGGTTCTGTGCTCAGAAGTGTCCCCTGGACGTGACCATATGTGGTGCCAGGGATTCGAACCCGTGTGGCTAGGAAGAAGGCAAGCACCTGTACTCTGGTGCTTTCTCTCCACCTCATATTTTTGTGCCAGCAGATATTGGGTAACCAAACCTCTAATATTCCCTGGAAAACTATTGCAAATGACCCCATCAGAACAATGTGGAAATAGGTTTTTGTTTGTTTTTTAAGACGAATGGCTCTTTTTTCTTTTTTGGGTCACACCCAGTGATGCACAGGGGTTCCTCCTGGCTCTGCACTCAGAAATTACTCCTGGCGGTGCTCAGGGGACCATATGGGAAGCTGGGAATCGAACCCGGGTTGGCTGCATGCAAGGCAAACGCCCTACCTGCTGTGCTATCTCTCCAGCCCACGAATGGTTCCTCTTAAGCTGAGCAGGCCTAGAAGTTTCCTGTTATTACTTGACTCACAGCAAGTACAGTGCTTCCCAGATTCTCATCATTGACAGAGCACCTGTAGAACTTCTTAACTTCGTGCCTGAAATTTTCATCAATTTGGCATCTCTGTGCTCAGTCCTGAGACAGTCGAGTCTGGCCGCAGGCATGGCGGCAGCTGTAGGGGAGTGAGAGTAGCTGCCAGTTCTGGCAGGGTGTGCACTTGGCCTAACCCCTTCAGACCTCGGCATTTCTGAGCTTTTCAGGAGTTCCAGGATGCCTCCCTGGGCCCTTGACCAAACAAACGCCTCCCCAAGCCTGGCTGTGCCCCGTCGGGGCTACTGGTGGTGGGGGCTGCATTCGTGAGGCTTTACTGGGTGTTTATCCCACCTTGGGGTGTTGGGCCGGGAGAGCAGAGCGGGTTTCTGAGATCTTGTGACCCGAGTTCGATTCCTCCGCCCCTCTCGGAGAGCCTGGCAAGCTACCGAGAGTATCTCGCCCGCACGGCAGAGCCTGGCAAGCTACCTGTGAAGTATTCGATACGCCAAACACAGTAACAACAAGTCTCATGATGGAGACGTTACTGGGCCCGCTCAAGCAAATCGATGAACAACGGGAGGACCGTGACCGTGATAAGTACAGCAGCTTAGGAGCTGACGGTCTCTGGTCTCTCCGACACTCAGCAAAGGAGAAAGGCTGACCACTAATGTTGGACAGTATTGGTCTAATGTGGGACCCCGTTTCCTTGCTCCTTCCCCTGAGTACGGGGCTGAGGGGACTTTCTGGAGGAGGCTTCTGGGACCTGCCTCCTCCAGCTCTTCTTCCTGGGGCGGCGTGAGGCTGGGGCGCTGCAGCTCTCTCCCCACATCTGTCTGTCCTCCTCGCGGGCTCTTGGGAAGAGTGGGCCCATGTCCCGGGCCCTCAGTGTGAGTGGCCCGACAATTCCCTGCAGGTAGGGGAGGAGAGGGCGCTGAGAGATGTGGGGGTGGGAGTTAAGGCTCAACAGGCCCCTCCTGCCACTCGCCTCTTCCACATGGAGAAACTGAGGTTCCACAGTAGTCTAACAGGGTTATGAGTGTGTGTGTGTGTGAGAGAGAGAGAGAGAGAAAGAGAGAAAGAGAGAGAGAGAAAGAGAGAGAGATTAAGGGAATGTGTCTCTGAGGGAGTGTGTGAGGGAGTCTATAAGGGAGAGTGTGTGAATGCATGCGTGAGGGAGTCTGTGTGTGGGTGTGTGTGTCAGTGGGAGTGTGTCTGTGAGGAGCGTGTGTGAGGGAATGTGTGTTATAGAAGGGAGGTATGTCTATATGGCATCCGTGAGGGAATGTTTCTGTCGTGAAGGAGAGTGCGTGTGAGGGAATGTGTGTGTGAATGTCTGGGAGTGTGTCTGCATGTGAAGTTGTGTGCGGGAGTGTAAGAGAATGTGTGAGAGAAGAAAAGGGTGTGTGTTGGGGGGTGTCTGTGACAGAGTGGGAGTGCGTGTTTGTGAGGGATTGTGTGTGTGTGTGTGTGTGTGTGAGAGAGAGAGAGAGAGAGAGAGAGAGAGAGAGAGAGAGAGAGAGAGAGAGAAATTAAGGGAATGTCTCTGAGGGAGTGTGTGAGTGAGGGAGTCTATAAGGGAGAGTGTGTGAATGCATGCGTGAGGGAGTCTGTGTGTGGGTGTGTGTGTCGGTGGGAGTGTGTCTGTGAGGAGCGTGTCTGTATGTGGAGTGTGTGTGTGTGTGTGTGTGTGTGTGTGTGTGAGGGAGTGTGTGTATCTTTGAGGGAGAGTGTGTGAGGGAATGTGTGTGATAGAAGGGAGGTGTGTCTATATGGCATCTGTGAGGGAGTGTTTCTGTAGTGAAGGAGAGTGCGTGTGAGGGAATGTGTGTGTGTGTGTGTGTGGGGTGTCTGCATGTGAAGGTGTGTGCGGGAGTGTAAGAGAATGTGTGAGAAAAGAAAAGGGTGTGTGTTGGGGGGGTGTCTGTGACAGAGTGGGAGTGCGTCTGTTTGTGAGGGAGTGTGTGTGTGTGTGTGAACAGTGCAGGTCCTGGGAACCCCCACAAATCACAGACCTGCCTCAGAGCTTTTCTGTTCATTTTTATTTTAAAGGAAACAAAAACAAAAACAACAGTGCAAAAACCCATTTTCCAGTGTCAGCCATACCCTCCCCCCACCCTGGGTCCCCACCCCCCGGCCACACTTGGGGCCAGACTCCTCTTCCCCCTCAGCACCCCCTCCCCGCTCATGGCTGGGGCTCCGCGTCCTTGGAGAGCTCGATCCCGGGGGCGGGGGTGGTGGGGGGAGGAAGGAACTGGGGGGTGGCCCCTGACCTGCCTGCCCCCCCAGGTCTCCAGCCATGGCACTGGGTCACCCTCTTGGCTCTCATTAACCCTTCTGGACCTCACGACAAGCCTGGGGGGCACTGATCTGGGGGAACCCTGTCCACACCCCTCTTTGCCCCGGGGCCGGCTCGGGGCTCTCCTCACTGAGGCTGGGGCTGGTCCTTCCCTCCCTCCCTCCGTGGGGGGGGGGGAGAGAGCGCGGTGAGACCCCCCCAGATTTTAAATACCGTAATGAAAGCGGGCAGGGGGCCGGATGGGGGCTGTAGACCTAATAAATTATTAGCGTTGTTTTTAGTGTCCGTGGGGCGGGGGAGTGGGGGTCGGGGTGGCCTCCAGGGCCCCCCTCACTGGTGAATCTCGTTCTCTATGAGGCTGTCCTCACAAGACTGGAAGTCTGTGTCCGTGAGGCCGTCGGGCGGCATGAGCAGCTCCTCGTCCTGGGACGAGGACGACGGGGGCTCGTCCCCTGAGCTGCCGGGACCCGCGTCCCCGTCTGCCTCTGAATCCTGCAGCACCTGGGCGATGTATTTCTGCGGGGAGGAGAGGGGGCGTTGGGTGCTCAGGACGGCTGTGGGTGACCCGCAGCTACGGTCCCACTGCCAGGGCCGCTGCTGAAGGCCTGGCGGGCCCCCCTGCCTTTTTTTTTTTTTGCTTTTTGGGTCACACCTGGCGATGCACAGGGATTACTCCTGGCTCTGCATTCAGGAATCCCCCCTGGTGGTGCTCAGGGGACCATACAGGATGCTGGGAACTGAACCCGGGTCAGCCGCGTGCAAGGCAAACGCCCTACCCTCTGTGCTATTGCTCCAGCCCCCAGGCCCTCCTGCTTTGGAAAGAGGCCAGCAGAGACCACCGCGGGCTACCCACGCGGGGCCTCGGGCCAGGACACTCACCGCAGACTTGAGGACAGTGGCAGAAGTCGGGGGCCGGCCATTGCTTCTGGGGTCCACGGTATCTGTCTCCGTGTGCTCAATCTTGGGGGGGCCCAGGGTTGAGTCAGAGGGTGTGTATGCGAGGGGGGGAGTGTTTCTCCTGCCCTCAGCCATGGCCCCTCATCCCGCGTAGCCCCCTGCTGCCCCACCCCTCAGCTCCCAAGCGTCCTCCCCTGCCCCCCCACCCCGCCCCCACCTTGTAGTTGTGGGCACTGAGGTATTTGAAGTGTCCGAAGCAGACGTGGCAGAGACAGATGACGATGGTGATCACCAGGACCACGAACGTGAACATGGACGTGGGGGCGAGGAAGCCTGGGGGGGAGGGGCGGGAGCCACGGGTGGCACCATGCACGCTGCTCTGGGGGCCTGGTGGTCCCCTTTTTTTCTTTTTTTTTGTTTTTTGGGTCACATCTGGCTCTGCACTCAGGAGTTACTCCTGGCGGTGCTCAGGGGACCATATGGGAATCGAACCCGGGTTGGCCGCGTGCAAGGCAAATGCCCTACCAGCTGTGCTATCGTTCCGGCCCCCACCCCCCCCTTTTTTTTTGCTTTTTGGGTCACACCTGGCGATGCTCAGGGGTTCCTCCTGGCTCTGCACTCAGGAGTTACCCCTGGCGGTGCTCAGGGGACCATATGGGATGCTGGGAATCGAACCTGGGTCGGCCGCGTGCAAGGCAAACGCCCTACCCGCTGTGCTATCTTTCCAGCCCATGGTGACCCCCTTCTACCTTCCAAGCAGTCCCCCACCTCTGGGACGGCCCCTCCTGCCTGGGTGCCCCCCCACCGGCCCTCACTCGTGCGCATGGTGGAGAAGAAGAGGAGCCAGAAGAGGCAGAGGATGGGCGCGGCCACCACCTGGTTCACGGCCCCCGAGTGGATCTTCTTGTCCAGCTTGGCCGGCAGGTAGGCGTAGTAGAGGTTGTACCTGTCTACCAGGTGCTTCAGCAGCATGTACATTAGCCCTGGGGAGCACACAGCCTGCCCTGGGACCGGCGCATCGGGGACCCCCCCTGGCCCTCCCCGGCGGGGAGTCCAGGAACGGCGCTCACACCGCCTCCCGTCCGCAAAGCCCTGTGTTTTGTTTCTGAGCCTACGTGCAGTGCAGGACAATGGCCTGGTGACCAGCTCTGTGGCCCTGGCGGCTGGCCGAGAGGCCTCGGCACGCAGACAGGTTAGAGCAGGAGGCCCTTCTCCAGGGGAGCATGGACCAAGAGTCGGAGGGGAACGGTTAGCTCTCTCCAGCAGGAAGTGGCACTTGTTCCCGGGTCCTAGAGCTCGGCTTCAGCTGGGGACCTGGCCAAGGAGGCCCAAGGCCTCTCCTGCGCTTAAGAGGGAGCTTCTGGACACGTGTGGCCCTGAGTCGCGGTCAGGAGTATATGTGTGGGCACCTCAGTGGGTGGGTGGGTGGGTGAAGGCCCTGGTGTGTGTGTGGGGGGGAGATGGCCGTGTTGGGGCGACTGCCCAGGGGCCCAGCACTGAGTGACGTCCCTGGCGTGTCCCCTCCTCCCTCCAGGCCAGGCCCCCCGACTGGGCCAGGGACCAGGCGGGAGGCCTGAGGGGCGGGTCTCCCAGCCGGGACCCTGTCCACTCGGGGGGTGCCTGCCTTCCTGGGGCGGGGCCGGTGAGGTCCTGGGTCCCCCCGAGCAGGGCCCAGGTCCCGGCGCGGCGGTGCCTACCGAAGGGCACGATGATGGGGCAGGTGATACTGTAGGTCATGACCACCGTGAAGACGCACATCATCCAGGCGTAGGCCGCGCCGAACTGGAACTCGTAGGCCTGATGCTGGGGGGGAGATGGGCAGGAGGGGGCTCAGGGGGGGGGTGGGCCGCACGGGGCAGCAGCGGGGGAAGGAGCCTGGGGCGGGGGTAGGACAAGCATGTGGGGGCAGCTGGGGCTGAGCAGGGCGTGAGAAGAGGGCGGGGAGGGCCTTGGGGGGCTAGGGGGCTGGAGGGGGGGCGGGTGCATCAGCGGGGGAGAGGCAGGCAGCCTGGGGAAGGGGATGTTCCAGAGTCTTTGTGTGCGTTTAGGAGAGGGAAAAAAAAAATCCTACTGCTAGGGCCTCGACCGCCCACCTGACCCCCACGGGACCCCCACCCTGGAATCCCAGGGCTGTCAGAACGACAGGGTCTCCGCTCTGCAGAACCACTGCTGGACATGTAGGTCGACTTACCGCCTCCGGTGGAAAGCGGACGGCGCAGGGCCGCGCACCGGGCTCCCCCGAGTCCCTGTCCCAGCCCCCCAGACCCCTAATCCCCCCACCCTCCCGCCCCACTCTGGCACCACTGCTGCTGTTTCCGGCCGGGCCCGCCAGGGGGCGCCGTGCGGCCGCCGCGGCGCCCGGGCGGCCCTACCCGCTTGACGTTGCGCCGCTCGGCCGCCGAGCGCGCCAGGCAGAGGCGGATCATGTACATGAGCAGGCCCGGGATGCGCAGCAGGTCCATGGCGTTGCCGATGAAGGCGGAGGCGATGACGTAGTTCACGAAGAAGGCGCCGTTGTCGGGCAGGAACACGCACCTGTGGGCACCAGGCGCTCCAGCGCGGCCTCGGGCTGGGGGTGGGGGTGGCCGCCGGCTCCACCGCGCACGACACACCGGTCCCCAGCAAGCCAGCACCCCCGTCCCACCCCCCACCCCCAGCCCGTGACGGCCCCACGACCCCTCCGTGTGAGTGCACGCGGCGAGTGTGACCCCCAGGCACCCCGAGAATGGGCACAGAGCGCTGCTGTCCGGGTGGTGACTGCCCAAGAGGAAGGACCCTTCTGACACCCCCAAAGACCCCAAGAGTGTGAGCCCCAGGGACATCCAGAAGATTCGCCTGCCTCCCCCCCCCCCACCCCCTCCCCGCCTCTCCGCCCCCAGTCGTAACTCAGAGTTGCCCCCAGAGTCCCAGCCTCAGCCCCCTCCTCTGGGCCACTTCCAGGGGCAGCCCAGGAACCTTTGTCAGTACCTCTGGGGTGGTGGCACCCCAACTGTGAAGTCTAAGATTACTGTAGGAGGTCAAAGGGAATAAACCCACTATTCACAGATGTCCCCAAGAACATGCCCCCCTCCCCGCCCCGACACCTTTCCTAGGACCCCCCCCCCCCCCAAGAGCAGTCTTCCTGCTGGCATGACCTCTGAATAAGCCTGGCGCTTCAGAGGGACTTATAGGACTCATGCCTTGGAACATTGCCCAGTGTGAGGTCAGGGGCCGGAGCGAGAGATAGTACAGCAGCGGGGAGGGGGTTTGCCTAGCACATGGCTGACTCGGGTTCAATCCCCAGCATCCCACAGGGGGGCCCCAAGTAGCAGCAGGAGTGATTCCGGAGAGCAGAGCCGGGACTAACCCCTGAGCATCGCTGGGTGTGGCCCCCCCAAACCCAAACCCAAACCCAAACCCAAAGTGTGACCCCAGAGAGACCACAGACCCCTTCCACGGAGGCGGTGCCAGAGAACATCAGGGAAGAGTTCAGAAACTCCCCCCCCCCCCCCCCCCCCGTCCCTCCCTGCCTCCTTAGCGGCACTCAGCCCCTGAATCAGTCCCAAATATAAGCCCCAGAGCCTCCCACGGAGTGTGACCCCAGAATCCAGAGACCGACCCTCCCATATGCCCTGGGGGATTGCCCCTGAGTACACCTCAGACATGTTGGGTGCAGTTTGGGGGGGTAACCCTGCTGGACGGGGTTGTGAGTCCCCCCTTCTCCACTGCGGGGTGAAAGCTGTGTCCCGCCTTCCTGTGGTAACTGGCAGGTGGAGCATGAACCACGCTCCCACTCCCCCTCCCTCCCTGGCGGCCCCAGCCCCCACTCCCCCTTTCTTCCCTGGGTGGGGGGGTCCAGCCACTCACTCAAACCGAATTGCAGCCTCAGCCAAGAACTTCTTGTCGAAGAGCCAGCGGAAGAAAAGGTCCAGGCTGGAGGGAGCAGGAGAGAGAGGGGCAGCGTGATGGGCCCGGGATGACCCGAGTCGGGAGGCTCGGGGGTGGCCACCCGCAGCCCACAGCCCGCAGCGCCCCCGACACACCTGCTCAGTCCCAGCGAGGGCAGGAGCAGCACCATGAAGATGAGGAAGGTGTAGCATTTGTGCATCGTGGTCCTGTTCTCCCCGGAGCTGCGGCACAGGGGCGGGTGTGGCCGGGTCAGCCCGTGCTCCCTGGAGGCCTCCCCGGGGGGCCAGGGCTGCCCGCGTCTCACCGTGTCCAGTGGGCTTCGAAGAAGGCAGAGTAGTAGACGATGGTGGGGAGCAGGGCCGAGAAGCACCAGAGCAGCAGGGTGGGGAAGAACTGGGTAATGATGGGGTTCTGCAGGGCAGAGGGCATGGGTCGGCTCGTGGTGGTGGGGGGGCAGTTCGGCGACTGCCCCCTCCTCCACTAAGCTGGCGCCCCATGCTTCTCAGGGCCCCATTTCAGACGTTCAGCAGCGGGAGGGCCTGATTCTACGCTTCCAGGGTTAGCTCAGAGCCAGACACGGATAGTGCTGCTGGTATGCATCTTTGGAATGGTGACATGGGCCCATTTTACAGAAAACAGGGGCCCCAAAGCCCCCCCAAAATACCAATAGCAGGGCTGGAGTGACAGCGCACTGGGAAGGCACTTGCCTTGCACAGAGCTGACCCGGGTCAGATCCCAGGCACCCCATATGCTCCTCTGAGCAATGCCAGGAGTGATCCCTAAGTGCAGAGCCAGGAGTTACTCTTGTGACTGCCAGGTGTGGTCCCTAACAGACTCTGATAACATTTGCAGCCAAGAGCAGAGAGGGTTCCAATCCCAGCAGTCTGTCTTTTTTTTCCTCTTTTTGGGTCACACCCAGCAATGCACAGGGGTTACTCCCGGCTCTGCACTTAGGATTTACTCCTGGTGGTGCTCAGGGGACCATATGGGATGCTGAGAATTGAACTCGGGTTGGCCATGTGCAAGGCGAATGCCCTGCCCGCTGTGCTATCGCTCCAGCCCCCCACTTTTTTTTGAATGAGAGGGGTGGTTACGCCCAGCAATGCTCAGGGGTGACTCTGCTCAGGAATCACTCCTGGAGAGGTTCGCGGGACTATATGGGATGTAAGGGATTGAACCCGGGACAGCCGCATGCCAGGCAAGTGCCCAAGTGCCCCCCCCCCCCCCCCCGCACTATGGCTCTGGCCATAGGAGTCCGGGTCTTATCTGTGACAGTGGAGCTACGGTGCCCTTCTAACTGTTGTCCTGGGGGTTCCCGGGAGAGTCTGTGTTTGAGGAACACACCAGTCCCCGCCTGAGCAGCCCTACTTCCCCATACTGGGCTCCAGCAAGCAGGCCACAGCCAGGGCCACTCCTGTGGACACTCAGCCACGAGGAGGGGCGGGCACGGGGTGGTGGGGGTCAAATTGAGGGCCTCACAGGCACTGTCCCTGGAGCTGTGTCCTGACCCCATTACGGCGGTCTTTGACAAAGGCTCAAGGTCTGGATGCCTCGAACCCTCCAGTCCCGTTGGCGAGGCCGTGGGGAGGTGGAGAAGGGCTGTTTGGGAGGTCCTAGGGTCAGTGAGGGCCGGGACCAGACTCTCTCATCCCTGGGTTATCCTGGTGTTTGTGAAGTTGAGGGTGGCCTCTCAGGATGGAAGGGGTGGGGGGTGCAGCCCCAGGGGGCTGTGGGGCGGGGCCTCACGTTGAGGTACTCCACGGGCTTGGTGACGTTGAACTTGTCCATGGTGGTGATGATGATGGCCGGGGTGGTGAGGAAGAAGAGGAGGATGAAGAGGACCACGTTGATGACGAGGCAGCGCAGCCACCAGATGAAGCCTCGGATGGAGAGGTGCTCCCTGGGAGGTGGGGGGGGCAGGAGATGCTCAAGGCAGGCGCCCGGAGGGCACGCACCCCACGCCCATCACAGCGGAGCGCTCCCTCCCGTCCGGGCCGGGGCCCCCTCACCAGTATATGTTCTGGGGGTCAGGGGCGTAGGACACGGTCCAGTTGGAGATATGCAGGGACTCGCTGCAGGACGAGGCGCGCGGCTCCCCGCGGCACGTGCAGCCCTGGCACTTGCACACGTTGAAGTCCTTCAGGATGCTGAGGGTAGCAGGCACCGGTCACCTGGTCAGCAGGCGCCAGGCGTGGGGGCCTGGAGGCGCGGCGGGGTCCTGGACAGGGTGCCCAGGGGGGTGGCGAGTCCGGGGCAGGGCAAGGGGTGTGACATGGCTGGGGCGGAGCCGGAGGGAGTGGTGTGGCTGGGGTGGGGCCTGAGGCATGACTGGGGCGGGGCATGACTGGGGTAGGGCGGGCCAGAGGGTGGGGGGCAGGGTTCAGTGGAGGGGGCCAGGGGCGGGGCCTGGGGGTGGGGCGGGGCTTGGGTAAAGGGGGCGAGGCCGGGGGACAGGACTGTGGGTGTGGCCCGTGGATGGGGCGGGGCCATCGGCCGGGCCTGGACAGGGGCGGGGCTGGGGATAGGGCGGGGCCAGGGATGGGCGGGGCGAGGCCAGGGAATGGGATTGTGTGTGTGGCCTGCAGATGGGGCATGGCTTTACGAGTGGCCCGTGGATGGGGCTGGTGCAGCCGGGCAGGGGCGGGGCTGAGGACAGGACTGTGGGAGGGGCCTGTGGATGGGGCGGGCCTGTGGGTGGGGCCCAGGCCAGGGGCAAGTCTGGGGACAGGGCTGTGGACAGGGCTTCCTGTGGGAGCCACAGCCCAACACCCTTGCCCGCCAGCTGCCCGGTGGGGGTGGAAGGGGGCCTCTAGATGGGGCGGGGCTGTGGGCGTGGTCCAGGCCAGAGGCGGGGTTGGGGACACGGCTGTGGGCGTGGCCCAGACCAGGGGGACAAGGCTGTGGGGGGGGCCTCTGGATGGGGCGGGGCTGTGGGCGTGACCCAGGCCAGGGGCGGGGCTGGGAACAAGGCTGTGGGAGGAGCCTCTGGATGGGGCGGGGATGTGGGCGTGGCCCAGGCCAGGGGCGGGGCTGGGAGGGGGGCAAGGCTGTGGGAGGGGCCTCTGGATAGGACGGAGCGGTGGGCATGGCCCAGGGCAGGGGTGGGGCTGGGGACAAGGCTGTGGGAGGGGCCTCTGGATGGGGCGGGGATGTGGGCGTGGCCCAGGCCAGGGGCGGGGCTGGGAGGGGGGGCAAGGCTGTGGGAGGGGCCTCTGGATAGGACGGAGCGGTGGGCATGGCCCAGGGCAGGGGTGGGGCTGGGGACAAGGCTGTGGGAGGGGCCTCTGGATGGGGCGGGGATGTGGGCGTGGCCCAGGCCAGGGGCGGGGCTGGGAGGGGGGGGCAAGGCTGTGGGAGGGGCCTCTGGATAGGACGGAGCGGTGGGCGTGGCCCAGGGCAGGGGTGGGGCGGGGGGGGGGGGGACAAGGCTGTGGGAGGGGCCTCTGGATGGGGCGGGGATGTGGGCGTGGCCCAGGCCAGGGGCGGGGCTGAGAGGGGGGGCAAGGCTGTGGGAGGGGCCTCTGGATAGGACGGAGCGGTGGGCGTGGCCCAGGGCAGGGGTGGGGCTGGGAACAAGGCTGTGGGAGGAGCCTCTGGATGGGGCGGGGATGTGGGCGTGGCCCAGGCCTGGGGCGGGGCTGGGGGGGGGGACAAGGCTGTGGGAGGGGCCTCTGGATAGGGCGGGGCCGTGGGCGTGGTCCAGGCCAGGTGCAGGGCTGGGAAGAGGGCTGTGAGAGGGGCCTCTGGATGGGGCGGGGCTGTGGGTGTGGCCCAGGCTAGGGGCCGGGCCGGGCAGGCGCTTACATGGCCGTGATGGTCTCGTTGTGGAAGGTGACGAAGGCCATGCCCAGGGGCTTCTCGTTGACCTTCTCCTTCTCGCGCTTGTAATCCTCCTTCAGCTTCTGCTCCAGCTTCGTGTAGTACTCTATGGCCTCCACCTGCGGGTGGGGGCGGCCCCGAGAGGCTCAGCACGGCCGGGACAGGGGAGCGGCCCGGGGCCCGGGAGGGGCGGCTGGGCACGGGCCTCACCTGCTCGCAGCCCCGCACCACGCAGCAGCACAGGTGCCCGCACGGCTTGGGGTTGATCATGGTGGGCACGTTTTCCTTGCTCTGCAGGTTCGTGAAGTAGAGCTTCCCCCGCTCAGCCTTCTTCCTGTGGGAGCCACGGGCCCGTCACTTTTGCCCGCCCTCTGGGGTTCGCTTACTCGGGGGTTGCTTCCAGCTGCCGGGTTCCCGGGGATCCTCAGGCCAGCCCTGCCCTTTCCTACCCTCTCTCAGGGAGCCAGTTAAGGGCCTAAAATAATTCATTTCCTTCCCTTTTTTTTTTGTTTTTGGGCCACTCCCAGTGATGCTCAGGGTTACTCAGCTCTGCACTCAGGAATCACTCTTGACAGAGCTCAGGGGGTCATATGGGATGTCAGGGATCCAACCCAGGTCAGTCATGATCAAGGCAAATATCCTATCTGCTGTACTATCGCTCTTGCTCTTTGTGATGTATACATACATACGTATATACGTATTTGTTTGGTTTTGGGGGTCACACCCAATGATGCTCAGGTTGGGTGTAATTCCTGGCTCTGCACTCAGAAATTACTCCTGGCATTGCCCTGGGGGACAATAGGGGATGCCAGGGATTGAACCCAGATGGGCCACGTGCAAGGGAAACACCCTACCCACTGTACTATCACTCTGGCTTCCCAAGATAGCTTTTTTTTTTTTTTTTTTTTTTGCTTTTTGGGTCACACCCAGCAATGCTCGGGTTACTCCTGGCTTTGCACTCAGGAATTACTCCTGGCAGTGCTTGGGGGACCATATGGGATACCAGGGATGGAGCCCGGGTCGGCTGCGTGCAAGGCAAACACCCTACCCGCTGTGCTATCGCTCCGGCCCCTCCCAAGATAGTTTTTACTGAACAAAATTTACTTAGAAAGATGTGAGGGGAGAGAAAGGAAGTATGTGTTCAAGTGAGAACTCTACGCTAGCCAAAGCTGCAGAGACACAGAGACAAGCAATTGAACGTGTTCAAGGGAGAACGTGGGCTTGAAGAGCCAATCTCTGGCCTCAATTTCTTCTCCTGCTAAAGAAGACGGTCCAAAGATGGGCTGGTGAATGCACCCCTTTCCTTCTGCGGCAACCCCAAACTCCAAGGGCTTGCGCTGCAGTGCCGAGCATGGGGAGGACAGTGCAGAGACTCTCGCCCCTAGGAGAGGCCCCTGCCCTCATTACCTTTCTGCATCCAGGAACATCAGGCGAGCGACATTGTAACATGGGCGGGCTTCGAGAACAGTGCAGTTGGGGTACGCCTCCCTGAAACAGAGTTCGGGCAGGGTCTTCCAGAGGCCCCAGCTACCTGCCCGCCCCCAACCCCAAAGGCATCCATGGCCTTTCAGGCATACATCTCCAATTCAAGACCCCCCTGCCCCATCTTCTCTCTCTCTCTTTGGTTTTGGGACCACACCTGGCAATGCTCAGAGGCCACACCTGGTGGGTCTGTCAGGGCGGCAGCCACAAGCCAGGCAAGCGCCTTAAGCTCTGTATTACTTCTCTCGTCCCTGCCCCCAGCCCCTTCCCTCTTAAGCTGCAAGAAGAGCAGATGAGAAGAGAAAACTGGATAAAGAAATTATGGTACGTCTATGCAATGGAATACTACACAGCTGTTAGGAAAAATGAGGTTATGAAATTTAAAAGGACTTGGTGAGTATTACGCTAAGTGAAATGAGTCAGAAGTAGAGGGACAGATATAGAATGACTACACACATTTGTGGGATATAAAACAAAAATAGTATGAAACTAATATGCAAGGTCTGGGGAAAAAAGGCCAGTAGGTCTGGTCAGTGACTGGAAATTACCACAAGGGTGTGGGAGGTGGAGGGTAGTTAAGATAGAGGAGGGTCCATTATGACAACATTACTTGGAAATGATCACTCTGCACAAGAATTGAGTGTTGAAAGCAGGGAAATGAATATACATGATAACCTTTCAGCATCGGTACTGCAAACCATAATGCCTAAGATGGGGGGGGCTGCCACAGAGGCAGGAGGGGGTGGGGGGTGGCTTGGGTAAATAGGCGGGAAACTGGGAACACTGGTGCTTGGAAATTACACTGGTGGAGGAATGGGTATTGGAACATGGCATGACTGAAACCCGATCATGAACAGCTTTGTAATGCTCTAGCTCAGGGTCACTGCCACTGTCACTGTCCTCCAGTTGTTCATCGATTTGCTCGAGCGGGCCCAGTAACGTCTCCATCATGAGACTTGTTGTTACTGTGTTTGGCATATCGAATATGCCACGGGGAGCTGGCCAGGCTCTGCCGTGCGGGCGAGATACTCTCGGTAGCTTGCCGGGCTCTCCGAGAGGGGCGAAGGAATCGAACTCGGGTCGGCCATGTTGGCCTGCAAGGCAAACGCCCTACCCGCTGTGCTATCGCTCCAGCCCATAGCTCAGGGTAATTCGATACAATAAAATTATTTAAAAAAAAGGGCAGAGGGTGCGAGGCGAAGGTGCAGCTGAGTGCAGGCTTTGCCTGCAGAAGTGCCAGGCTCCATCTCCAGTTCGGCATGCTCCTGCGAGCACCTCTGGGAGTCGGCACCACCACCCCATCCCGGGCACAGAACCCGAAGGCCCTGAGCAGCACTGGACTGTTACCACCCCAAATGCAAATAAAAGGTGGGTCCCCTAAGAATAAAACTCAGGTGACACCCCACCTGTGTGCAGGATGTGGGGGTGTTAGGGCAGGTGCGGGGTCAGGCTGCCACAGCGAGGGTGGATTCCAGCCAGACCTCATGGGCTGCTGGGAAGTGGTGTTTCTTGTTGTGGGTTTCCTTTTCACTTTTTTTCTTTTCTTTTTTGTTTTTTGGGTCATACCCGGCGATGCACAGGGGTTCCTCCTGGCTCTGCACTCAGGAGTTACTCCTGGCGGTGCTCAGGGGACCATATGGGATGCTGGGAATCGAACCGGGGTCAGCCACGTGCAAAGCAAATGCCCTACCCGCTGTGATATCTCTCCATCCCCCTTCTTTCACTTTTTACATTTTTAATTTTATTTTTGCTTGTTTGGGGGCTACATTTGGTGATGCTCAAGGCACACTCTTGGCTCTGTGCTCAGGGCTCACTCCTGGCTCCACGCTCAGGGATCACTCCTGGCTCTGTGCTTAGGGGTCATTTCTGGCAGCACTCCGAGGGGACCATACAGGATGCTGGGATTGAAACCTAGGTCAGTTGTGTGCTAGACAAGCACTCTCCTGCTGTACTATACCTCCAGTCCCACCCCCCCAATTATTATTATTCGGTCCTCCCGTTGTTCATCGATTCGCTCGAGCAGGCCCAGTAACGTCTCAATCATGAGACTTGTTGTTACTGTGTTTGGCATATTGAATACGTCACGGGGAGCTTGCCAGGCTCTGCCATGCGGGCGAGATACTCTCGGTAGCTTGCCGGGCTCTCCGAGAGGGGCGGAAGAATTGAACTCGGGTCGGCCATGTTGGCCCCTTGTAAGGCAAACGCCCTACCGCTGTGCTATCGCTCCAGTCCATTATTATTATTATTATATTATTATTATTTTGCTTTCTGGGTCACACCAGCAATGCGCAGGGGTTACTCCTGGTTCATGCACTCAGGAATTACTCCTGGTGGTGCTCAGAGGACCATATGGGATGCTGGGAATCGAACCTGGGTCAGCCGTGTGCAACGCCCTACCCGCTGTGCTATAGCTCCAGCCCTATTCTTAATTTTTAAGTCTTAGTTTTTCCCCTTGCCTCCTCAGGGGTTCTGGGCAGTGCCAGGGGTTAATTTCACTGCCTTGGGGTTGCTGGGACGGTGCCTGAAAGCTCTGTGCACTGTCTGGGGCCCTGATTATTCTCTTCCCCCTGTTCCCAGCAAGCCTGATTCCGGCCCAACACAGAGCCATGATCCAGAGAGAGCCCAACAACCCCACATGCAGACAGTCCCGGGCCAAGGAGGCCAGGAGATGGTTGTGCGTGCGTGCGTGCGTGTGTGCGTGCATGTGTGTGTGTGTGTGTGTGTAGCACACCCAGAGGTGCAGGGCTTACTCCTGCTCTCTGCTCAGGGCTCATTCCTGGCTCATTCCTCATTCCTGGGGTTCAGAAGACCATATGGGACATGGAGATCTAGCAAGCAAGCACCCTAGCTGCTGTACTATTGCTCTGGCTCCGAGAGACTGGGTTTAACCCTGACTTGAGGCTGACCTCTAACCCTGGCCAGAAGCGATCTTTATTATTTGCTCGAGTGGGCCCAGTAATGTCTTCATTTATTATTATTATTATTATTTTGTTTGTTTGTTTTGGGTCACACCCGACGATGCGCAGGGGTTACTCCTGGCTCTGCACTCAGGTATCACCCCTGGCAGTGCTCAGGGGACCCTATGGGATGCTGGGAATCAAATCCGGTTCGGCCGCGTGCAAGGCAAACGCCCTCCCCGCTGTGCTATCGCTCCAGCCCCCAGAAGTGATCTTTAACCCGGAGCCAAACTGACCCACGACCATGACCCTCTGCCTGCTCTGCCCAGATGCAGTGGGCCCCGACCTCGCCCCGAGATGGAGCAGGGCTACGCTATGCTTGCGCTCAACCCTCGGGACTCGCTGACTGAGCACTTCCTGATAGTGAGTCTCTTAATCTTGGCGCCACAGCCGGGGTGCTCATGGGTCACTCCCAGGGGTACCTGGGGACATATGCAGCAGAGGATCAAGCGTCCTAAACCCTGTACTGTTGCTCCAGCATACATCAAGTCTCCTTACATCTTCCCCTCTTGTGAACCGTACCCACCCAGAAATGCAACACTGCGGGCAGCAAGGTGCCAAGGCACCTTGGGCTCGTTTGCACACGCAAGTTTGAAGGGATTTTTGGGCACTGTGCATCCAGAGGCCTCTCACTGCTGCCAAGCTGCTCGTGACCCCTACTCTGAGTTCCGGCAGCTCAACTCCCTATCAACCTTCCTCCGACCTGGTGGCCTTTCCGCAGCTCCTCTGTCCCACCGGCCGCCCCCACCCCCCGCCTCGTCTCCAGCCACGTTCCCTCATGAACATGATTTTTCACCTGAGGCCCCATGGGAAAACCCTTACGGGGTCTTACGGGGCCAGTTAGGATGTATGCCTGGGATACGGAAGGTGACCAGAGGAAGCGGGCTGGGGGACAAGTGTCCCTTCACCAACGCTGGCCACAACACTCGCTCTTCCACAGCCCGGGGTCTGCACTGACCCCCCAGCCCTACCCCCACCCAGGGGAGCCGTAGCGGATGCAGGCCCTGGGCGGGGCCTGGCCCTGACTGCCACCCCTCTCCCCCTAGCACGGCTCCTGGCTGGCCCCGAGCTGACCTCACACGGCTCTAGGCAGAGACCTGGACTAGCTGACCCCCAGGCGCCAGCCTGCCCCAGGCTCTGGGGTCCTTCACTCACCCGGCCTGTGCTGAGGCCTCCCAAGGGTCTCACAGCCCCGGAGGACAGGGACGCACAGGCCAGGCGCTCTGCCACCTGCAACCTCAGTGGCATCTCCGCCTTCCTCCAAGACCTGCAGTCCGGGACCCACCTCCAGCTCCCCCCCCCCCAAAGCCGTTGTAACCTGGGAGTGGGGGAGATTCCCCCCCCCACACAGTGAGGGGCCTGGAGCAGGCCCAAGTGCAGGGAGCTCACCCCCGACCCCCATCCTACACAGGGCACCAGTCGGAAGGCAAAAGATCCCAGCGGGACAGGGCGCGGGGCCTAGAGCGGCCACTTACTCGAAATGCTTCTTGATCTTCTCCGATTCCGCGTACTTGGAGATTCCATTGATGAAGAGGGTGCGCTTCACCTGGAGGGGTGGGGGGATGGAGGGACGCAAGTGGGGTGCCTGCCTGAGGCTGGGGGCGGGGCAGGGGCGGGGCGGGGCGGGGGCGGGGCCGGGCGCGCACCAGGTCGTCTTCCTTGTAGCGCATCTTGGAGGTATGCCTACGCATGCTGTACACCGTCAGCAGCAGGTACAGGAAGGCGAACGACGTGTGCAGCCACAGGAGGTTGTTCCTGGGGGCGGGAGGCGCATGGAGCCCGGGCATGGGCTGCCGGGTGCCCCAGAGTCCCCGCTGCCCCTCCCATCCCCCCAGAAAGGCTGCCCCCGCCTCCTCTTGGCTTTTTTTGGGGGGATGGGTCACCTCCGGCTGTGCTCAAAGGTCACTCCTGGCTCTGCACTCAGAGCTCACTCCAGCGGGGGGGGGGGGGGGGGGGGGGGGGGGGGGGGGGGGGAACTATATGGGGTCCTGGGCATTGAATCCAGGTGGGCCACATGCACGGAAAGTGACCTCCCCTTGTATTTTTTTTTTTTTGCTTTTTGGGTCACACCCGGCGATGCACAGGGATTACTCCTGGCTCTGCACTCAGAAGTTACTCCTGGCGGTGCTCGGGGGACCATATGGGATGCTGGGACTCGAACCCGGGTCGGCCGCGTGCAAGGCAAACGCCCTCCCCGCTGTGCTATCTCTCCAGCCCCAAGTGCCCTCTCCCCTTGTACTATTACTCCGGCCCCTTCTCTTGGCTTTCAATAGGGGCTACCCCCACTCCCAGGGTGCTCAGGGAGGGGGCCTGTGGATGGCTGGCTGGCGGAATCGGACAGCACAGCAGCACGCAGAGGCTTTGGGGTCCTGCCACCTCACCAGCGCCCTCTCTTCCTCTGCTTACCCCTGGGCAGCCTCGCGGGCATCTACCTCCCCAGGACCCCCCTGGAGCTCCCTCTGCCCCCAGCCCCTCATTCCCCACGGCCCACCCGGCTGCTCCCGGCCTCACCCTGATTTCAAGTTGGCGATGGTGGTTCTCCCGAAACTATAGGCGTTGTTTTCTGGGGGGTGGGAAGAGGGGGAGGCGGGTGAGGGCACACGCCCCCGCCCACCCCCACGCGCCCTGCCCCCTGCCTGCCCGCACCCTACTGACCCAGCAGGTCCCCTGAGAAGTTGACGGGCAGCACGATGCCCACGGAGAGGACGCCCACGACCACCAGCAGCCCGATGATGTGACGCTGGAAGGACAGGTAGTGCACCGCGTCGCCCCCGCACTTGTCCCGGATCTCATCGTCCCTGCGGGCAGAGGGAGGTCGTGAGCACCGGCCAGCGGCCACAGCTGCCCTGCCCGCCCGGCCCATGGATGCCCTGGCCAGTGTGGCTTTGGGGGGGGGGCAGAGTCCTAGCTGGGGAGGGAAGAGGAAGGGGGAGGCAGAGGAAGGAAGAGGTGGGGTAAGAAGGGGCTGAGAAGAGCCGGAAAGGTGGAAGGAGGGAGGGAAAGAGGGAGAAAAAGGAGGAAGGAGAGGAGAGGGGAGATGGGGAGGGGGGGAGGGAGGGAGACAGGGATGGAGGGAAGAGGAGAGGGGAGGGAAAGAGGGGGCAGAGGGGAGGAAGGGGGGAAGCTGAGGGGGAGGGAGGGGAGAGGAGAGGGGAGGAGGGAGGAAGGTAGAGACAAGGAGGAGAGATGGCGAAGGGGGGTGAAGAGGGAAGAGGAGGAGAGAGGAAGAAAGGAGGGAAGGAGAAGGAATGAGAGGGGAGGAGGAAAGAAGGGGAGGCGGGAAGGGGAGAGGAGAGGAGGGGAGTGAGGGGAAAAGGAGGAAGGAGAGAAAGGGAGAGGAAAGGAGACGGGAGGAGGGAAGCAGGGGAGAGGAGAGGAGAGGAGGGAAGGGAAGAGCGGGGAGGAGGGCGGAAGGATGAGAGCAGCCAGGGTGAGGCAGATGAGGCGGGTGGGGCGGGTGGGAGGGCAGAGCTGGGAGTGAGGGCGGGTGCGGCTGGGCGGACTGGGTCGGGGAGGCACCCATGGGTGCTGCTGGGAGGGGCCGGCTTGCTGCCTCGGTGCTCGCTGCCTGCTCTCCTGGTCTCGCCTCTGGTCTGCATCTGTCTCCTGCCCGCCTCGCCTTCCCCTGCCAGCTGTGCACAGCTGGGCACAGGGCCTGAGGCGGGGGCTCCAGCCCCAGCTAGTGGGAAAGCGGCCGGGCGCCCACAGGTGAGCAGGACCCAGAGGGGCAGGGCAGAGCCCCCTCTTAGGGGAGGAGGGGGTCGGTGGGGAGCACTAAGGCCCTCCTGGTACTGGCCTTTGGGCTGGTCGGGGATGGCAGGCTCTGAAGCCTCTCTCTCCTCTCTCTCTTTCTCTCCGTCTCTCAAGACTGTTCACTTACTTTTTTTTTTTTTGCTTTTTGGGTCACACCCGGCGATGCACAGGGGTTACTCCTGGCTCTGCACTCAGGAGTTACTTCTGGCAGTGCTCAGGGGACCATAAGGGATGCTGGAAATCGAACCCGGGTCGGCTGCGTGCAAGGCAAACGCCCTACCCGCTGTGCTATCTCTCCAGCCCAAGACTGTTCACTTACTTTATCCTGAAGATGGCTGTCAGCCAGGAACAGAAACCCTGGTGGGACAGAGAAGAGAGTCCCAGTCAGCGGGGGGTGGGGGGGGTGGGGGGGCGGGAGGGTCCCCACTCTGCCATACCCCTCCCCCCATCCAGTTGTGCTCCCTCCCCCCTCCAGGGCTGGAGAGGGCAGCAGACAGGACCAGCCTCAGAGAATCACCAAGGGCTTCTCTGCCCGTCCTGCTGGAAGCCAGCAAGAGCTCAACAGGACGGTCGGACAGGCAGAGGTGGGGGTCCTGCCGAGCTGTATACGGGTGGGGCCTGGGAGCTGGGGACATGTGTGGAGGGTCCCACTGCACTGTACACAGGCGGTGGGACATGGGCGGGGTTCCCGTGGAGGCGGCATGGGCCGCATGGGCCGGGGGACCTGGGCGGGGGGTCTTGTGCCCTGCGTGGTTCCGGGCGTGGCCTGGGCTTCCGAGGGAGGTTTGAGGGAGGGAGAACCTCTGGGTCTGCAGCCAGCAGACAACAAAAACCACAGGTGCCCCTGCGCTGCCTGCAGTCCCGGCCAGTCCCGGGCCCTGTGCCATGCGCCCCTCCCCCTCCCAGCCTGGCGTTGAGGGCAGCAGGGGGGCGGGGCGTGTTCCTGGGAGTGGCGGGCAGGGAGCTGCCCCCCAGCTGCCAGGCACAGGATGGGAGAGATGCCCCCAGTCAAGGTGCAGGAGCCTCCTGGTCAGCACCCCTGGGGACTAGGAGAGTGCCGGCCAGTCAGGCTGGGGACTGCACCTGGCGCTGCCACCGCAGGGCCTCAGCCTGAGCTGGGCTCACCCAGGTTCCCACACAGGCAGGCGCAATTCCTTCCTTCCTTCCTTCCTTCCTTCCTTCCTTCCTTCCTTCTTTTTCCTCTTTCTTTCTTTCTTTCTTTCTTTCTTTCTTTCTTTCCTTTCTTTCCTGGGCTGGAGCGATAGCACAGCGGTAGGGCATTTGCCTTGCACACAGCCAACATGGCCGGCCCAAGTTCGATTCCTCCGCCCCTCTCGGAGAGCCCGGCAAGCTACCGAGAGTATCTCGCCCGCACAGCAGAGCCTGGCAAGCTACCCATGATGTATTCGAGATGCCAAACACAGTAACAACGAAGTCTCCAATGGAGACGTTACTGGGTCCGCTCGAGCAAATCGATGAACAACGGGAGGACCGTGACCGTGACCGTGACTTGGGCCACACTTGGCAATTCTCAGGGTTTACTCCTGGCTCTGCACTCAGGAATTCCTCCTGGCAATGCTCAGGGCACCCTATGGGATGTCGGAGATGGAGGCTCCCCCCCTCCCCCGGGGTCAGCCGCATGCAAGGCATGCATCCTACCAACTGTACTATCGCTTTGGCCCTTGAAGAGCAGTTTCTGACCTGCAGGAGGCCAGGGGGCCAGAGATTGGATCTGATGGGAAATGGGTCCCGATGTTAGAGCCTTGGGCACAGGGAGGCCTCAGGGCTTCACCCTGCTTGGCCTGGGGGCTCTGAGCTGCACAGCGGCTTCTGGGTGTTCTGCTGGGCTGGCCTAGAAGACTCGCGGACCCATCTAAAACTGTATCTAAGGCATAAAGGGTCCCTTAGCACCCAGCAGCAGAACTGACCCAGGCCCCAGCTGTCGCCAAGAAGTTTGGGACTTGTTTGGGGAGGTGAAATGGGGGGAGCGGGGGAATCCGGGCGCTGAGGCTGCTCCCCTGGTGAGGGCCATGGCCTGAGTAGTCTCCGACTCTGGGCTGCCCATCCCAGGCTGCCCTGATCATCTGCAGGACTGTGTGGGTTGCTAGAAGTCATGGGGAGGGGGGGAGGGAGTGCACTTACGTTGTCTCTTTGGTCAAAGTCCACAGAGCTGGAGACAGATGTGAGACGCTCATACCGGTCATGACTATCCCCGTGCATAGCGGAGGCCACACTGGGGGTTGGGGGGGGTCGAGAGAGCAGAGAGCAGGGTGAGTCTCAGTCCCGGGAGGCCATGTGAAGTGGGCCAACTCCCACTCCCGGGCTCCAGGGATGAGACAAGGCACAGAAAGCGCAAGAGTGAAGCGGGAAGTGCCCCTCCCGGCCTCCCTCAGATGCATCTTTCTCTTGGTGGGGGAGGGGGGGCGGAAACAGGGGGCCACTGACTCAGGAGACAGCCCAGAGTCCGGCTCAGGCCCCGCCTCCCTCCCCAAGGAAGAAAGGGTGGGAGCGGGCCTGCAGTTCCCGGGCTGGCCAGCGGGGGGCAGGGCAGCAGAGTTGCTATTTGCAGAGGGTGATGAGGAGGCGGAGGGAAGCGCGGGCCAGGAGAGCGCCAGGTCCAAGGGCCGGGATCAAGGGGCCCGAGGGTGTCTCCCACGTGGGCCCCGGTCTCCCTCTTCCCTGAGCCCAGCAGCTGCCGCAACTCCGACTCCAGTCCTAGACAGAGACGCTGATGAGACACAAAGGGCCAGACTCGAGGCTCCTTGGGCAGCACCCCCTCCCAAGCCTTCCAGAAGGGAGGAGCGGGGAACCCTGGAATGTGAAGAACTAGCTGTTAGGGGACAGAAAGCCACCGGTGACGCCCAATCTTGTCTCTGCGACCGACGGGGTGGGTGTGTTCTGGGCACCCGGAGAGCTCTGGGCTCCAGCCAAGGGGCGCCCGCCCGGAGGGAGCCAGCGAGCCGGAGTGTGTGGGGGAGGGGGGAGGCAGAGACAAGTTTGGGGAGCCCCCTGCTCTGCAAAGCACACCGCCGGCATTAATCCGAGACATGAGCCTGCAGAGGAGAAAACTGCAAAAGGAATCCAGTAACTTGGCAGGAAGAGAAGAGAAGCATGAGAGAAGAGAGGGAGAGCTGGTTTAGTGGGGGGTGAGGGGGCTGGCGCCCCCACATACTATTCCTGTTCCACTCGGTCCCTCTCTTGTCGCCAAAGCCTGGGGACAGAGAACAGACAGGGTTAGCAGGAGCGGGTGCTGGGGGACGGTCCCTGAGGACTGGCAAAGGGACGAAGTATCTCCCCATCCGAAGCCCACCCTGGGACTCTCTCATCTCCATCCTCCCAACAAGGGGCATGAGAGAGGACCGACTCCTTCCAGCCCCGAGAAGTGCGGGAGGTCTGTGTGGCTACATGCATGCGTATTTGTGTGCGGGTGTGCACTGCACGTGTTCCGGCGTACACATGCGCGTGTAAGCCTGCAACTAGGTGCAGGTGTGTACATGCAGGCACTGCGCGTGTCTGTGACACACGTGCGTCTGGGTGCACGCGCCTGCAAGGACTGGCGCACGCAGATCGCACAGGTATGTGGGCGTGTATGTCCGTTCCCAGATGAATGTGCACGAACAGCACACGTGCATGGAGATCTGCCCCAGCACTGGTGTCCGTGCGCCTGTGTGTTCTAGCGTGTGCGCGTGCAGGAATACGAGCATGGGTACACGCGTGTGTGCACGAGCGACAGGGCCCTGGCTCCTTACCTGTCGGCGTCTGTGACCAAGGCCAGCCGCCCATAGTCCCAGGCTACCTTCCGGAGGATGGAGAACAGGAAGAGCAGGGCCTGAGGGAAGGGGACAAGGGCTGTTGGCAGGTGGAGGGGCCGCCCACCCACGGACGGCCAGGGGAGCAGCGGGGTCAGAATCCTGACTCGGGGCGGGGCGCGGGGGGCAGGGGGGGGGAACGAAGGATGAGCAGGGGTCAGGCAGCTCTCCGGGGGGCACTCACCAGGAAGCACATGAAGTCGAGGGCCAGCACGGTGGGGACGCCCCCGAAGGGCAGGCCCTGCAGCACGGTACTGCGGATGCGGGCGCTGTAGCAGTAGTCCTTGGGGCTGCTGCTGTTGAGGGCCGAGGTGCCCAGCGTGGCCAGCAGGAAGGGCAGCATGGCTGCTATTGCCGCATGGTCCTCCTGGAAGGGGGTGGGGGAGACCTCAGCTGGGTTTCCGGATGGGCTTCCCGGCCAGTGTCCCAGCGGCGTGAGCGTGGGGAGGGGGCCGCGAGGGCAGGTCTGGCAGGTCTGGCTGGCCGAGTGAGTGGGTGAAGCTCTGGCCCCCAGAGATAAGGGTGGGGGCGGGGAGGCGCTTGGCCCGGCTTTCACCTTCACCATCTTCACCGTCTGCTGAGCAGAGACCCCACCCTGGGTTTGGGGCGCTCAGCCCCAGGGCGGCAGAGGGGGTGGGTTTATCTGAGCTGGAAGTTCCCTGTGGCCTCTGGTATTAACTTCTGTATCCACAGAGTCTCTGTCCAGGGCCTCTCTCCAGATTGTCTTTCTGCCTGGCAGGGGGGCAGGGCTGAGTTTGAGGGAAGATGAGGAGGAGAGGGGGCTTCAGGTGGAGGCCACGGGGAGGGGGGGGGGGGGGTCAGCAATCTCACCCCATTCGCACTTCCACCTCTTAGAAAATTGGCAGGATTCCACTTGCTGCGACTTTTCGCTTCTTCCTCACTTTCCCAGTGGAACCAGTTTCCAACAAGGGGACCCCTCTGTCCCCTGAAGTTCCCCCCGCGCCCCCCAGTTACTTCTGCGCTGGGGGTGGGGGTCAAGCGTGCCCGGTTCCTGTCTCCGGAGCAGGGCAGGCTGGGAAGGCCTTGCCCTCCAGCGGGCTTTTCTATTGGCAAAGGAAGGGACAGTGGGTGGGGCCCCTGAGTACAGCCCTGGGGGGCCCCCCCCATGCCCCCAGTACTGCAAGGGCAGGGAGGGTCAGGCAAGTCCTAGGAGCTAAGACAGTCTGGTGGAAGGGGGAGTCGTCCTCGTTCGTTAGGTTTAACCCTCAGAGCCTCACCCCAAAGGGTGGCCAGCCTGGATGCTGGGCTTCTGCCCGCGCCCAGGGACCCAGCAGAGCAGGCCCTGGGGGAGCTCGGGGCGGAGTAGCGTGGCTTGGCATAGCCGCCCCGCCCCCACCCCCCAGGACCTCTGGGGCCCCTTCTGCTGACGACAGTGAAGCTCTGCCTTGGAGGTGGGGTGGGGGTGTCCCCAGGGAAGGCAGGAAACCAGACAAAGAGAACAACAAACCTAGCATCTGCGGGACCGCACCTCTGCCAGCAAGCTTCCACCAGCCTGCTGGGGTGACACAGAGGGTCTCTCCAACCCACCAATCCCCCACCTCTGATCCCTCCCCATGCCCTATTTCAGTCACAGAGGAAGGGGCACCAGCTGGGCGGGGGAGGGGGGGCGGGGAGGTGAAGGGTGTGTGTGTGTGTGTGTGTGTGTGTGTGTGTGTGTGTATTTTCCTGGGGTCCCAGGAACAGAATAACACAACAAAAACCAAAACCCGGGCTGGAGCAATAGCACAGCGGGTAGGGCGTTTGCCTTGCACGCGGCTGACCCGGGTTCGATTCCCAGCATTCCCATATGGTCCCCTGAGCACCGCCAGGGGTAATTCCTGAGCGCAGAGCCAGGAGTGACTCCTGTGCATTGCCGGGTGTGACCCAAAAAAAAAAAAAAAAACAAACCCAAAACCCGGGTTAGAGGCCAGGGGTATACAGCACATGCCTCACATGTGTGAGATTCTGGTGTCCATCCCTGACCATGGGGAAGATAAAAGTAAAAGCAAAGGAGAACTGGGGTTAGGTGAGGAGAGGATGGGAGGAAGGGCCTCTGGGCAGCTCTTTGGTTTCCTCTTTCCTTTCCAGCCCAGCGGTCCTACCCCCCCCCCCCACCCCCCACCACACACACACTTCATAATCATGGCAGGACCCAGAGCCTGCTGTTTCAAGAATAGCATACACATCCTGTCATTGACTCCTCACCATCCCGAGCTGGAGCTCACTGTCACCATAACTGGGGGACTGGGGGTTCCTGAGAAGTGAAGTGACCACCTAGCCCCAGTGTGATTACAGGGCATCTCCTGGGGCTGCGTACAGACACTGCCGGGTGCGGAGGGGTGTGAATGTGAGCTGGAGTGTGTGGGCGGCAGTGAATGGAGCTGCTGATCTCTAAGTGGGGGGGTCTGTCTGGGGGGGGTCGTGTCTGGGAGTCCTGGGATGGAAACATGAGATGCATGGAATTCTGGGGCAGAAGCAGAGGTTGGTTACAGGTTCTTGGGGCACCTGGACAGTCGTCCCCCTTGATCCCCACTCCAATGCATGCTCAAGAATCCACCAGGGGGCTGGAGCGATAGCACAGCGGGTAAGGCGTTTGCCTTGCACGCAGCCGACCCAGGTTCGATTCCCAGCATCCCATCTGGTCCCCTGAGCACCACCAGGAGTGGTTCCTCAGTGCAGAGCCAGGAACAACCCCTGTGCATCGCTGGGTGTGACCCCCCCCCCTCCAAAAGAAAAACCACCAGGGCTCTTTCCTGCCTCTGCTGTGTCTCACCAACTCCAAGCCAGACCCCACACTGAGATACAATGACCCTCCGGGAGTGTCATGCCAGAGCCAATCTCTCCACGCTAGAGGCAGCTGCAAACTTCTGGAAGATTTCATGTGATGGGAACCTAGCGGGGTGTGACTGGAGGGTATGGGGGGACACGTCCTGGAGATCAGTCCGTGCACCTGCAGCCGTCTCCCTCTCCAGCGGCTGAGCAGAGTCCCCCTGGGGGCCGGAGCGGCCCAAGGCCCCCTTTGCACATGGGCGAGGCAGGGCCGCAGGGAGAAGGCAGGTTAAGGGGGTGGGACCCGGCTGGCTGGTGGCTCTCAGTCTTCTTAGCTGTGGGGGCGGGAGCCTGGGCTGCTGCTGCTCTCCGAGGGAGGAGACTGAGGCAGAATCCTGGGGGCGGGAGCTCCTCCACTCCAAGGGGCTGTCGGGTGCTCCAGGCAACAGGACCGGTTCCACCCGAGGCTTGGCTGGAGTGCTCACAAGAGCCAAGGGAAGTTTTACTTTCAGCTAATTCGTGGCCTTGAAGGTTACCAGGAAGAGATGTGTGTGAGTGTGAGTGTGTGTGTGAGTGTGTGAGAGAGAGTGTGTGTGTGTGTGTGTGTGTGTGTGTGTGTGTGTGTGTGTGTGGCGGTGGGTCCGCAGTTAGAAATTCAGTTCTTTTTCTTACACAATCAGATGGGGAGAGTCCTGCAGGGCTCAGGATGTCAGGAGGGCTGGGGGGGAGGGGAGGGGGAAGGGGAGGGTGTTTGCCCACAAGTAGGAAGGAGGTGGATTCTGTTACTAAGTAACCCGCACCTCAGTTTTACAATCTCTTAACAAAATGATATTACTAGACTTGTTCCCCGCAGACCAACACCTGCTGGCAGGGCCAAAATGTATAAGAATGTATCTAAGGGGTCAGGGAATGTGGCTCTGTAGCAAAGGCCAGGTCCGCCCCAGCAACATTTCCCCCTAAGCATCTGCAATGTGGATTCCCCTAAAGAAATACATTTATCAGTGACTTACTCTGCTCCTTGTGCCAAGCACTGCTCTAAGTACTTTACAAACCGTTCACTAGACTACCTCTCCCAGTCCTAGGAGAACACTGAGGAACAGAGAGGGTGCTTAACTGGTGCAACAGCACACAGCAGATGGGATGAATTTGGCTCTGGACTCCAGCAGCCTGGCGCACATCCATGGTCCCTGCTGCCTTGGACAACCGAGTCACTTCCATGAGGAATCCAGGGGCTGCCAGCTGCCCCCGGAGCCTCTGCCCACCCTATTTGCCTGTTTCCTGTTTGCTCTTTGCCGACCCTTCTAGGCAGTGGTTCCTTGACCCTTACCCCCGCCCCCCCACTCCAGTCTTGGGTTGGTGGCTCTGGGGTTCCCAGGGAGGAGCATGCGCACAGGCAACGGTGCCTTCCTGGATGAAACCACTGACTTCTGACCTCGGCCAGTCACCCCACTGCCCACGGCCTCGACTCCTTCACCTGTCGGCAGGCGGGTAAGAATTCAGTTGTGGGGCAGGTCTGAGGATTAAGATGAAAAATTACGTAAAGCTCAATACAGTTCAAAGTACAGAAGGGGTTCCAAAAAAAAAAAAAAAGCTATTGTTACCTAAAACATATGGAATGAAAAGGGTTAGCTGAGTGCAGGAAAGCGAGATCCAAATAAAGAATTTGATATGCTGGAGTACCCGGTCTGGATGGGCTTCTGCGTGAGACTTTGGGGCATACTCTGATTGGGGACACACACCGAGCAACAGGGACTGTCCCCAAACTCTCCAAACATCCCTGATGGGATCCCTGAGCAGCAGGCTGGGAGGTGGGGGGCCCCATTATTGATCACCAACCAGGAAGGTGGGCAGACCCTGTACCACTATTCTATCGTGCCATCTCCCGAAACCTCAGGAGGAGGTGGTACCAAACGCACCTGGAAACTGAGGCTCAGATAAGTCAAATTAACTTGTCAAGGTCACACAGCTAAAGAAAGGTTGAGCTAGAATTTCAAGGCAGGTTCCCAACACTGTTATAATTGGAGGGAATTTGTAAGCTGCTTCAAAGGGTGGGGGGGTCCCAGGGCTGCAGCGACAGTGAAGAAGGGGGGATGCTTGTCCTTCATCCAGCCCACCTGGGTCTGATTCCCAGCATCCGTTTTGGTCCCCCAAGCACCATCAGGAGTGATCCCTGAGCACAGAGCCAGGAGTTAAGCTCTGAGTATCTGGGTGTGGCTCAAAAATCAAAAAATGAAGGAAAAAAAAAGAACCCAAACAAACAAAAAACGACCCCTCCATCCCAAAGGGGTTCCAGGCTACCACCAACAATTCTGTCTTGCCATATCCCGACCCACCCACCCATGAACCAAAACAGCCGGCTGAGGCAACAGCAGGCCTCAGCGTGTGCCACTAGGGCATGCCAGGGCTTGGACCCTCTGGAGTCTTGGAGGAGGACAGACGGACAGATAGACAACCGCCCTGGAGACCCGCGCAGTCCAGCTGGAAGCCTTGCGCGCACTCCCACACCCCTGTCAACTGCTCCCGAGGCCGCCAGGACTGGGGGGAGGCCTCTCCTTAGGAGGCTGGGACACAGCCTCCACCTTCCTGGGCTAATGCAGACCCAGGCAGAGGCTGGGGCTGGGAACTGGGGAGCGAGGCCTGTGCCCCGCGCCCCGGTTGGTGGAAGCAGAGCGTGCTGGATCTCCTCTCGGGGTATGGGGGGGGCACGGCCCACGGCAGCCGGCAGCACAGGGCCCCAAGGGCAGCCGGACCCTCTGACCTCTCCCGAGCCCTCGGCGAGTGTCCTTCTCTTTTCTTGGGGGGAACAAGGCACCCAAGATCTCCCAGGGTCCTCCTCACGCAGGCCGGGCTAGGACAGGACAAAGCGCGACCCCTCCCCGCGGCGGGGCCTTTGCCCCCCTCGGGGTTCCGCGTCGGAAACCCTTTTCCCGGGCGTCCCCGACAACGTAGGCCCCGGCAGCGGCTCATGAATGGAGCTCAGTGTGCGGGGCGCAAGGAGAGGACGCGCTCCCGAGGCCAGCTGCCTGCCCAGCTCGGCCCCCGGAGTCCCCAGGCGGGCCGTGGGGGACAGCGGCCGGCGCCGCGCCAGCATCCGTGCCCCCTGCCTGGCCGCGGGCCGGTTTCGTGGTGGTGGCGGCGGCGGCGGTGGGGGGACAGGGCCCCAGGGACGGGAGACCCGATCAAAGAACGGGAGGGCATCGGACTTGGCGACCCCGGATCCGAACACACGGGGGCGGGGGCGGCGGCGGGCCGGAGGGGCGCAGCTGGACCCCCGGAGGGGCGCCGGGGAAACGCGCACCTGGACGCGGCAGGTGGGGAGAGGAGTGGCGCGGAGGGGCGCGCGCGGCGGGGGTCGCGAGACCTCCCGAGGGGTGGGCACCGACGGGGCTGCACATCTGGGCCCCCCGGCCGGGGCCTGAACATTCGCCTTGGGCGCGCGGGTGCCACGGGGTCCCCGGGGGGCGCGGGGACCTTCGGGTCCCGGAGGAGGTGGAAGGGAGGGGACGCGCTTGAGTCCGGGGGATTTTTTTTTTTTTGTTCGGTGTTATTGTTGTTTTTTTTTTTTTTCCTCCCCCCCTCGGGGTCGCGGTGGGGATCCGCACGGGAAAGAGGGCGCGGGGGAAGGGGGTCGCGTACTCACCCCCAGGCGCAGACTCGGCTCGGGCTCCGAGCCCCGGCTCGGGGCGGGGCGGGGCTGGGGAGGGGGAGGGGGAGTCCGGGGCGGCTCGAGCTCGGGGCTCCTGCGGCGGCCGCGGCAGATCTGGGGGAGGGGGAGCGGGCGGAGGGAGGGGCCGGGGGCGTGGCCGCGCCCGCCCCGCCCCGCGCACGCAGCGCGCGCGCACGCGCACCTCGGCGCCCGGCCGGCCGGCCCCGGCGCGCACGCGCCCCCGGGAGCGCCGCGTGGTGGCGGCGAGCGCGGGAGGCGGCGCTTGGCCAGCGGGGCGCGCGGCGGGCGCTTCCCGGGCGGCCAGAGCGGTACGGACGGAGGGCGCGGGCGGGAGGGCCGACTCCCGGGGGCAGCCGAGCCGGGCCGAGCTCGGGGCAGGGGAGGCCGCTGGACCCTGCCGGGGCGCGGCGGTGGGCGACCCCGCGCCCCCCGGTGCGCTCCGGAGGCGCGGGGCGGGCCCCGTCTTTGCACCCGCCGCGTCCCCCTCTGCGGCTCCGGAATTGACCGTGTGGCTTCCGTGGCGTGGGCAGTGAGGCCAGCGCTGCCACTGGCCTGGCGACCGGCGGATCCCACGGCCCCTGCCACCCCACCCCGGGCTGGTCAGTTTCCCGGGGCGCGCATCGGAGGGGCGGGGAGAGGGCGTGCCGGCCCGCGCGCCTCCCGGGATCCCGCCCTCGCCCCCCGGCCCATCCCCCCGCAGGCAGCACGGGACGGAATCGGCAGCTCGATGCACTGGATTTGGGGTTCGTGAGAGCCGCGCTTACCTGACGCAGGGGCAGTGGCTCGGACACCGAAAGGAAGTGCTGCTTTCCACGGTGAACTTTGCCACCCCGCGCGGGATGAATGGGCTGAATTTGCCAAGAGGTTAACAGGAGCATGTGACAGGGTCACCCTGGGTTACTTTGGGGCAGGCTGGGAGCTGCTGGGTAGCGGAAGGACCCCTCCCCGGGGCTGGCTGGGGCCTGGTCTGGTTCTTGCCCTCGGGCTGTGTCTCGGCTCTTGGACGCTTTTCCCCCTGGCAATGCCCCACTCCTGACTGCTCAGGGATCACTCCAGCCTCAGTGCTCTGGGACCAGCCGCCGTGCCAGGGGTTGCACCGGGGCTGGCCGGTTGCTTGGCAGGCGTCTGATCCCCTGGATTATTTATTGCTCAGGCTCTTGTCTGATGCCTCTTTAAGGTGTCATTGTTAGCTGGTGGAATACGGTTATTTCTGTTTTGTGGGAGTGCTTTTCAAACTGAGTCTCACAGGTTGGTTGGAAATCAGTTTTGTGGTTCACAGCCAGCATTATAAAAAGTGTGTGTGTGGGGGGGCAATATGAGTAGAATTAGAATTACACTTGGTAAGGGTCAGTTTTGGACTCTGGCACTGGCTTCAGGGGTGTGTTTGTGTGTGTAGGAGTGTTAGAAGGTTTTGCACAATGTGTTTCTCTGTTCACAGCAAAGTTCCCCAAAGCATCAGCCTCCTGTCTCCTGGCTTGCCCTTCACGTTCTCCACCTGAGGCTTTTTTTTTTTTTCCTTCTTTTTGGGTCACACCCGGTGATACACACGGATTACTCCTGGCTCTGCAGTCAGGAATTACTCCTGGTGGTGCTTGGGGGACCATATGGGATGCTGGGGATTGAACCCGAATTGACTGAGCGCAAGGCAATTAGCACCCTACCCACTGTGTTATCGCTCCAGTCTCCATCTCCACCCGAGTTTTCTGTTGAAATTGTCCACGAGTCAATGAACATTCCAGGAGCCCGGCTTTCAGGAACATGACTGACCAGGAAGAAGAGCAGTTGAAACCTAATTGAAGGATAGATTTCGTGGTGGGCTGAGGAAGGAGGTTGGCTGCACAGTTGATTTTGGTTGTATCAGTATATGGAGTGTGGACATTAGTATTCTGGGAGGGATTTTTTTTTGGGGGGGAGGGGGTTTGGGTCAGTCACACCCAGCGGCGCTCAAGATTTAGGCCTGTCCGTGCTAAAGATTCCGTATTCGGTGCCAGGAATGGAACCAGGGTCAGCTGCTTGCAAGGCTGGTGCCCTTCTCTCTAAAACATCTCTCCAGCCCTCTGGAAGTGAGAGGTGGGAATGGGGGGGGGGGGGGTGCGGGGGGAGCAAGTGGTTCAGATACAATGGGATGTGTTCTGTTTTTTTCTTGGAGGGCCATTTTACTCCCGAGAGCTTCTCAAATATGTAATACTAAGCATGTTTTTACATGTTGTGTTGATTTCCTGGTTGTCAAGCCAATGTGACCCACTGCAGAATAGCACCTGCAGTGGGCATGGGCAGAGGGGAAGCTGGCACAGTGACTTAGTTTTTGTTTCTTTTTTTTCTTTTTGGGTCACACCCAGCGATGCCCAGGGATCATTCCTGGCTCTGCACTCAGGAATTACTCCTGGCGGTGCTTGGGGGACCATATGGGATGCCGGGGATCAAACCCAGGTCGGCTGTGTGCAAGGCAAACGCCCTACCCGCTGTGCTATCACTCCGGCCCCTGACTTAGCTTTTGGAGCACTGTGGGTCCCAGAAGGAATTTCTTATATATTAGGGTTGTTTGTTTGTTTTTGTTTTGGGGGTCATGCCTGGCAATGCTCAGGGGTTACTCCTGGCTTTGCACGTGGGAATTTCTCTTGGGGGACCATAAGGGGTGCCGGGGATGGCTGCATGCCGGGTAAGTGCCTTGCCTGCTGTACTATCACTCTGGGCCCCTGTATCTTAGGTGTTTTTTTTTTTTTTTTGCTTTTTGGGTCACACCCAGCTATGCACGGGGGTTACTCCTGGCTCATGCACTCAGGCATTACTCCTGGTAGTGCTCGGGGGACCATATGGGATGCTGGGAATCGAACTTGAGTCGGCCGCGTGCAAGGCAAATGCCCTACCCACTGTGCTATTGCTCCAGCCCCTGAATATTAGAATTTTTAAACAATCCAATTACGAATCCAAACTTGTAGTGGATTCCTGATCGGTTTGTGCCTGATGCGGGGGACCCCACAGGGACCCTGACCTGGCCTCCAGTTACTGCCAATGCTTCGGTTGCGCTGATGGAAGAGGAGACATTTCACAAACCCTGACATGAGTATTGAATGGACTGCCAGATCTGTGGAGGCTCAAGCAGGGCTGGGCGCCCTCTCCTGCTGCCCAGTGCCTGGTTCCGGTGGTCTCGCGTTGGACTCTGGGGCTGATTATCCTCAACAGTTCAGTTGTCAGCTGACGCAAGAGTCCACTGAACTTCAGAGTCTGAGAGCTGTCTCGTCTCTCCGCTGGCAAGGTCATGGCACCTGGACCGTTTGAAAATGGGATGTCCCGTTTCCTGGCATTTGGCCTCTTTTGTGGCTGGGCCTGTATCGAATTGCTCTGAGTGGTGGGTTTATTTATTGTTTCCTTTTTTCTCTCCGTGAGGTGATGGTGATTGTGGAGACTTGGGAGGGTCTCAGAATCAAGTTAAGATTTCTGTTTCTTTTTTTTGTTTGTTTCATTTTGGGTGCCACACCTGGTGGTGCTCAGGGATCACTCCTGGCAGTACTTAGGGACCATATGGTGCTCAGGATCCAACCTGGGTCGGTCTGCGTGCAAGGCAGACGCCCTGCCCGTTGTACTACCCCTTGCGCTTTCTTTGTAGAAACTGTTGGCTTGTTCTGGATTGTAGTTCACTCTGGTGAGATTTTACGTGTGTATTAACAATGGCAGCAGGCTTTGAAAGAGAGGACTGTTGATCGGGGTTCCACAGATGTTGCTCTGAATTAGAAAGCGCAAATGGCGCTTCTGTTACGATGCCTTGTGGACTGGGGTGATTGTACAGTGGGCAAGGTGCTTGCATATATGCGGCCGACCCAGCTTCTATCCCTGGCACCCCATACTGTCCCCCAAGTCCCACCAGAAGTGATTCCTGAGTGCAGAGCCAGGAGTAAGCTCTGAGTACTGCTGGGTGTGCCTCCCTGCCTGCCCACCCCGAAAAACAAAAAGGAGGGGCCTTGTAGCTGATTTACAAGTGAAAGTGAAAGACACTAGTGAAAGACAACTCAGCTGCCCAGTGCGCCGCATCAGAAACTTGAAAGGTGGCATCATCTTCAGGAAAGAGGGCATGGCTCCGTGTCTGCTCTATGCTTTCAGTCTGAGCACTGGGTTTTCTTTGGGGGGGTGGACTCACCTGGCAGTGCTCAGGGCTTCCTCCAGGCTCAGCACTCAGAAATCACTCCTGGTGGGCTCAGGGACCATATGGGGTGCGATGGATTGAACCCTGGCCTGCTGCGCAAGCACCCCACCCACTATACCGTCTGGACCCCAGGACTGGGTGGTTTTCGAGAGACACCACATCAAAACAGGAGGCTGTTTCTCCTGGGCGCGTCTGAACACAGTTGTTACTCTACAGACTGGGGCTCTGCTGGCTCACTCAGAGGGTTGCTTTTATTTAAAAAGATGTAATAAATCAATTTTTGTTTGGGGGCAACACCTGGCGGTGCTCAGGGCTTACTCCTGGCTCTGCACATGGTCCCTGGGATTGAACCCTGGTCAGCCGTGTGCCAGGTGAACGCCCAAACCACTGTACTGTCACTCTGGCCCCAGATTCCTGCTTTTACCTGGAAGCTAGAGCTCACTTTCTTGCCTCCTTGTTCTTCCTGGGGTCCCTTGCTTGATAGAGTCACTGAGGGCTGGAGAAGTTGGTTCCAAGGTCACAGACTTAGCTAGGGAAGAAGGAGGATTGTGTGTGTGTGTGTGTGTGTATGTGTGTGTGTGTGTGTGTGAGTGATGTTCATTGGCTGTGTGTGTGTGCACATACATGTGTAGAATAAGGGGGCGAGGGGCTGTGTAGGATTGGGTATGTGTACGATGCTTTTGTTTTGGGGCAACACCTGGCAGTGCTCAGGGCTTACTCCTGGCTCTGCACATGGTCCCTAGGATTGAACCATACGCAGAGCCAGGAGTAAGCCGTGTGTAGAATGTGGGTGTATAGGATTTTGTGGGGGGATGGGGTGTGAAAATTGGGTGGATGTGGGTGTATAAGATTGTGTGTGTGTAGGGTGGGGGTGTATAGGATTGTGTGTGTGTGTAGGATTGGGGTATATGGGATTTGTGTGTGTGTGTTTGTAGAATGGTGTATAGGATTGGGAGTGTGTATGCTGGATGAAGGTATAGAAAAGTAATTTTTAAATACTCGTGTAACAAGGAGGAGCGTACGGTGAGTAAGCAAGGAAATATAGGACAAGAGCCCTGCACGCCTTCCCCTGTGAGTCAGGCTGAGGCGTGGTGTCCCGACCCTCACGGACGGCGTCCCGCGCTCCCGAGCCTTGCGTAGCCTGTGGATGGGACACCAGGCACCGGC